GCTTGGTACTGTTAGGTGAATTTTGTGTTTAAATTTCAGAGCTTAACTCGTTGGTTTGCTGGACCATCTTAAACATGTGTAAATCTCGGCAATTATTTTCAAATAGTAATTTTTGGTTAAGTATTGGTAACCGACTTGTTATGTGGTTCCTTGTGACTTGTTTGATTTTCATTTATTTGAATTTGTATGAAATCCAATAAGTGGTTTGGTCGAGTCTAAGTCCTAGAGTTCCAATGTCCACAGGACTTCACGAACTTAGTTGAATCAAGTTCAACTAAGTCTCTTTGTGATTTCTTTTTCAGTCAAGATAAGGTATTGATTTTAGTACCTTGACTTAATGTAGGTATTTTAAGGTGTTGACCTCACCTTGCTTTCGAGATTTGTGATTGTGAATTGTCGCTTCGACCAGGTGGGTACATTTGTGTTGTATCTATAATTGTCGCACTTAATATTTCATATAAATGCTTCGATTGAAAAATTTTATATGCGTGAGAACCCTAGCTAAGTGTCCCATATGTTAGTGCCTTTGAGGAATGCATAAACAGTGAGTGGTCATCGGCCCGTAGATTCGGAGAGGTGATGTCCCAGTCCGTATGATATTCGTGAAGGGGAAAAACAACTCTACTGTCTCCTAGAAAGGATCCCAGGCCCGTAGTTATATTCGGTGATGGGAATGTTTCCAATTACTTCCTTACCGTTGTATCCGGAAGGTTGTTGTATGTACATAGGAGGTTTGCGATAGGGCCAAGTAGGGAGTTAGACCTTAGATTCTATGCATACTATTTACTGTGTTATTGTTTTTAAAATTTTATACGTGATAACTGTGCGATAATAGGTGAGCTTGTTGGTTATGCTCACCCCCATTATTTTCTGTTGTTTCCTCTTCCTTTTTCTTTAGGTTGAGCTGAGCTGGTGACGGTGGCGTAAAGACGAGCTGGTGTCATTGGTTGATGTTTATTATTATCTATGCTTCCGCCTATTGTTGAATTGTCATGTAGACTTTGTTTATTTCCTTAGATTTGGATAAATTGATAATGCTTGATTGAGCCTTGGATTTATGATTTGGTTTAATGCTTGTGTTGGAACTAAATGAATGCTTGGTTTATTGTTTATAACTGTTAGTTATGCATGTTAGATATTTCCTTATCGTTTTATGCTTGGCTATACGTGTTTGTATTTTTGTTTAATTTATTCTTCGTAGATAAGTAGCGCCCGATGATTTTTAAATTTTAATATGGGATTTTGCGAAAAATTAACTCTGATTTTTATAATTAAATTCAGTAAATTCTTTAAAATAAAACGGGGCGTTACATACCTGGAGACTTGAAGCTGGGTGTACCATGGTGGCTTGAAATAACAGTCACTTAGCCGGGTATCTATGTGATGAGATGTTCATTTCATATTCATATAATTATTATACTATCCATGTTTATACTAAATCAGTGCATAGTGTGAAATTTATCACTCAGCTAGATGATTGCTCACCCCATTTGTTTTTCAGGTTGATCGAGATGGCGGCGAACACGAGAGGACGGGCGTGGTCACCGTTGTTTATGTTTTTATGTTTCTGCGAACTCTTCTGAAACCAATGTTCAGTTTAGACTTTGTATTTTGAACTATGTTACGAACAATCTTTACATTTGATGTTTTGGATGATTATTTATGTGTGGAATGTTTTGAAAGAAAGAATGGCATTTGAGTAATGTCGGTAAAGAGATTTTTGGAAAATGTTAGTTCAATTTTTTTTTTGAAAATCCGTGTTTTCCTTTAAATAAATAAGCGGGCGTTACATATGCCTACTTATCAAGAATAATAAGTCACTCAAAAACACACGTCACGGTCAAGACATTCAACATCATTAAATAAGGAGACAAAATAAAGGGTTAGAAAAATAGCAAAGATAATGTACCTAAAAGTTTTTTGTGTATGTATTCTTTTCCATTTAAACTTCATAGAAAATCATGCAAGAATTCCTAAAAAGATGCAGTAAACTGCACGCAAAAGAAAAAGAAATATAGTCACACAAAATTAAACCTTTCGTATACTAAGTTATTGAATTTACGTCCAAAAATTTAAGAAGTCTTCCCAAGTAATCCTTATAATTGCAAACACTAAATAACACAGACGAATGATCACGATTCGGTGCAGATTAAATTAAATGGAATTCATGTGATACTTTTCTCTTAACGAATTTGTAATTTTCAACAAAAATAAATTCTGTTACTTCATATCACAAAAGACTCCCACACGTTTCTCGAAATCACACACATGGTCAATCTGTATACTTATAATAAGATATTAGCTATTTTCTTTGGCAATCTCAAGCAAATAGTTTTAAGAGTATCAAAAGTATCCGATTTTTTCTCAAATAAACTCCACCCATTTGAAATGAGAAAAATCATGAACACACACGAAGATTTACTTTTTACTGTTGTAACTCTCTACTTGAATTGGTCCCATCAAATCAATATTTGGAAAGGTACATAAACTGGATGTACTTTCATCCTTAGTTCCGACACGCCCCGAACAAATCATGTATTAGAAAAATTTTATCAAATGAGAGTAACCATTATGTCCAAGATGTTGATTCCAGATCTCAGTGTCATTAGACGTCGCTTGATATATAACACTTGGAACCAACATCGACCAAATATAAATTGTCAGTCTAATATGAACCCGCAAGCACACATGCATCATTATTACCTCTCACATTGCACTTGTTTTGGGAAAAATTCACATCAATCCCTTGATCACATAGTTGGCTAACATTAAGCAAGTTCACTTTCAAATTTTCAACAAGTAGGACATCTTTTAGTTTAGGTAATCCATCAATTTTCAAGCATATAGTACTTATCACTTTGTTACTAGCTCCATCACCAAAAGTAACCTCACCACTAGACACAGAATTTCTGTCATATAAGTATGTAAGTTTACTAGTCATATATCTAGAGCAACCACTATCCAAGTAACATTTACCTTTCAAGGAGGTTTTTAAAGACAACACAGATATAAAACACTTATGTTTATCGTTTACAACTCATTTTGTTGTATGTGGTTTTTTAGATCAACTTTCAATGTTGGAGCCTTCATGGGTATACCTAGCTTATTTTATTGACTCACCATTCATACAATTAAATCATGTTGCATCCTTTAACGTCTAAGACTTATGTGACTAGTGATTATACAAAAATAACACACACGAATAAAATTTTTCACAACCCTCGAATGTTGGTTCTTCTTAGGAAGAACTTGCTTACTGGACGAGTAGGGCACAAACATAGCATATAAATTCTTAACTTGTTTACCTTTGGTGTTAGAAAATGCATTCTGACCTTTTTGTCTGGTTTGACCCAACTCCTGATGATCGACTTGTCTTTTGCTCATGTCCAAGAGCTCGTCAATATCTGCCTCACCTTTGTTAATTTTGCGTAAAATCTGAGATATTCGTTCTAGCTCTACTGATTTCTCCTTCATATTCTAGTCGTATTAGACTAAGTTGTTCTTCAGGTTCACAAGTTTGTTCATCACCCAAGAGAGTTCACATTTGACAGTTCCTACCTCCTTATCTTTATCACCTTTAATATTCTGCGATGCAAAAAGTGACGTTATTAAAGGTTCAATGACTTGATCTTTTTCGCCACTTACCTATTTAGACAATTTCAGTCCACTCTCCATGATAATATTTTGTGCAAATGATGTCCAACCTCTTATCATGCATGAAAGATGAGGTCAATTACTCATTGAGTGAGCCATTGATCTCTCTCATGTTTTGGAGCTCTTTCTTCAAGTATTCACGTCTTTGTTCGTGTTAACCTAATGTAAACTTGTTTTGATAGACCTGATTTGAGCATTAAGATTTTTATTACTTTTGCAGCTTGTAAGCACTTTTTCATCTCGTACGAGATCAATCTTCATAATCATTAGATCCATCTAAGTCATTATTATAAAAAATAACAAGAAATCTTACCAGATTTAGAGCCAGAAGGACTATATGTGGAGGTAAGGAAAAAAAATTGGTTGAGTGGACATGCGACCATGTTTGCTGGATCGCGATATTGGTTCATCAGTCTGCTCCTCATTCGAATTATCCCAAGTTATCTCATCATCATCATCGTCGTCGTCACCTTCTTCTTCTCCGTCGTCTTCTCCTCCTTCTCATCCTCCTACTTTGTAGTCTACCTACTTATAGCTACCTTCTAGCCACAACGTGGACTTAAGTTGTACACATGGATCCTTCCAAATGGTTTAAAGATGTTCGTCAAACAAACAAATGGTTCGAGTTACCAACGATGTACCAGTATGTTGGAATCCAATCACTCATAAAAATTGAATAAAAATTCACGAGCTGTCAATAATAAAAACTATTATATCACAATACGTATAATGGAACAGCTCGCTCTATGACCAAAAATAGTGAAACTAGAATATATACAAAACTATAAACAATATGTTGGTTTATAAAAAATCGATAGTTTCCAAATCTTCTCGTTCAACTTTGAAAACTGAATTCTGATGTCTTGTAGGTCATCATGCACGAACATCTTGTTAAAATCCTTCAGATTTAATTTTGTCTAACTCTATTCAATATTGTACATGGAACTTTATATAACATGGTTTTGTGCGTGTGTTAGTGTGTGCATTTGAGAGAGGGGAGGGACTGTGAGGAAAATGCAAAAGAGATGGTGGGGGACCGACTTCTCCTGAGTAATATGTGAACAAAGTGTAGGTGAAAAAAGGAAATAGGAATGCAAAGATAGATAGAAAGGGAGACACATACACACACAAGTGTTAATGACACGCACCTCTCAATATCTCATCATTGACAGGTCGCTTTTGCAACTGCACCTCCCCTTCCAAATAAAAAATTAAAAAAAATCTCCCAGAATTTCACGCCTAGCTTCTTTTATTTTCTCTACAATTCTTATCTTTTACCCCTTTTTNATTCTCTGTCCATAATTATAAATGTTTGTGTGTTTGCTGACAAATATTAGAGATAGCACGGTCAACTTACTGCCCTCCTTGTTCCCCCACCTTTTCTCTCTCTCATTTTCTCCTTTGTTTCCCGTCAAGTCTTTATCTCTGAAACTCAAAAAACCCTATTGTCTATCTTTCCTTTTTTTCCCCTTAAACAAAAAAACAATTCAGGAACACCTCATAATTCATTTATTCTCTTCTGCTCATCAACGTTCTCCTTACAATTCTCTCTAATCCTCTCTTTCTTCTTCGTACACAAACACACACAACATAAGAAGAAAGGAAAAAAATGTGGATGGTTGATAGTAGTGATAATAATAACCGCAAGGAACTAAAGATGCCGACAACTGATAATCCGGCATTCGGCCAAAAGCTCCGCTCACTGATGCCACGGCCACCCATCAGATCGACGCCATCATTTTTTTGTGCTCAAAACCCTAATACCATCCTTCCACTTTGGAACCAATATTCAATGGGTATATACTTTTTTCTTTTATTATTATTATTATTATTATTTTATGATATTTACCAAGAATGTGTTACTAAGATTGCATCTTCTTTAATCATCATATACACACATGACCCCCAAACAAAAAAATAAAAAATAAAAAATAAAAAAAATATTTAATTGTGGAATTTGGAATAAATCGAAATGAAATCTTGGAAATCATACTAGTTAGTTAAAACATATTATAGATGCATATAGTTATTTATTTAAGTTTTGTAGGTGGTGTGATGGGTGATTATGGGGTTAAAAGAGAGATGGAAGGGGTGCCATTGGTGAGCACGAGATGGAACCCTACTCCCGAGCAGTTGCAAGCGCTTGAGGAAATGTATAAACAAGGGACAAGAACACCCACAGCAGATCAAATCCAGCAAATTGCTTCTCGGCTGAGGAGGTTCGGGAAAATTGAAGGCAAAAATGTTTTCTATTGGTTTCAAAATCATAAGGCTAGGGAAAGACAGAAAAAACGCCGCCAGCTGGAGCTGCTTGCTGGAAAACAGCCTCTCAATGTAGAGGCCTCTGAAGCAAACCAAGGTAATTCGTTGATTAATTAACTAATAATTATAATATATACTAGTTTTTTAGTTTTATTGGAAGATAGGGACTGGAGTAATTATGGTGTGAGAGATGATGGTTGGATTGTTTTGGAATTGAAAACGCATATCTTGTAATTTTAGTATGTGATCACGTAAAAAGAAAAAAAAATTAAAAAATTATGTGATGAACTAGAAATTTTTATTTAAAAGTTGTTTTATTTGTTTAGCATGAGTACAACAACATATAATTAAGAGTTCCATTAGCGTTAAAATTGAACTAAAAGGGTTTCATATGTTGAATAATGATTTCATGTCCATGTGTAGTGATATAGATTGCATCTGTCAATTATATTTTAACTAAAATTAATGTATATTCAATATATCCGGAAGCAAGAAAGAGAGGAATGAGACGTGAAAAAAGTGTAGTGGAAAGGAATTGAAGAGATAAGAATCACTTTCCCAACAATTCATTTTTTTTTATTTGTTGCCCACCATAAATTCTTTTCTCCGTAATTTTTTNGTAATTTTTTTTTTTTTTTATAAATTATTTAGATACCAACAAATTAATATATGTACATTTTAATCGGTTATTTGAATAGTACTTTAATATAATTTTGCAGGATTAAGCAAGGGATATTTTGAAAGAGAACACCAGAAGAAATTGCAAACACCTTCAAACTGCAGCACGCCCTCAGAGGTACCTACACATTTAGTTTTTATCATCTTTTTTATTTTTACCTGTAAGAAAATTTTCAGGACAAATTATGTTTTATAATCACTGTATATATATACACATATATATATGCAAGCTTGCTCATTTAGTACCTACTCTGCACAAAATTCAACGTACATCTGACTTGATCAAGCACAAGACATAACACAGCGGCAAAATTATGGGCTAATAATACGGTACTCACATTGGTCCAAAACAATTGAATGCAATAAAATAAAAAAATAAAAATAAAAAAAGCATTGTTTATGATGGAAAAAGATGGGACACCAAAAAAGCTGCACTCTATACTTTCTGTTGGGGTTGTTGCTAAGAAAATATTAGAATTTCCTCGGCCAAAGTGCCATATTTATTTATTTTTTTTCATTTCATCAATTTATAGAAAAAGTAAATTAATTAATTAATTTTCAATAAATTTTTCAGGACTCTGTATCAATGCATGGCTCAGTGATAGCAGAACGTAAGAAATTAGATATGTGGGCACAAAAACTGCACCCCAAGGAATTGCAGTCAGCGAACAATGAAATTACCTCCTGGAAATTGGACTTATCTCAATCTTCTTACAACAATATTAACTCCCATAAAGCTTCATCATCAGAACAAGAGAACACAATGCCATTATTTATCGAGAGCAATCTTATATTAAAAGAAAATCGGACACTTCAGCTTTTCCCGATGGCCGATCAGGAAGAGAATTGCGATTCCTCTGTTGGCATTTATTTGGGAAACCGATATAGGCCTAATGAGTTCATCGAGTTCCTGCCGATTGCGAAGAAATAAATCAAAATTAGTAGGGTTGTTTAATTTATCTGTTTGAATTCATGAAATATATTCATTGATTGTAGTAGTTATTATTTATTATTATTACTGGGTGATTAAGGTTGAAAAGATGTAACATGTGGCTTTCGCATTAAATTAACGTGGGTGTTCGTATGTAGCTAAGGTAGCTATATCTGCTGCTTGATGTATTGGTCATTACGCTTATTTAATGACTCTGATTGGCATCTATGTATGTTTTTATTGACCTTTAGGCTGTGAAGATCACTGTCGGACTTTGACAAAAAATCATGTCAATCAATTACCACAGTTTGGAGCACTAATTTTCATTTCTCCCCCTCTTTATGTACTTTAGCCCAAGCGTCAGCTAAAAGTAACTAACTGTAATCTATTCTAAGTGGATCATGCTGCACAAACATATAATAGATGATATAATATATATGGCACGATCACGTGGTTCTACACATTACATTAATTTTAAAATCAACAACTCATACTGTGACAACATAATTTAGGTCATTGGGAGGCTGTTTTTGGGATTGATCCCAACAGTTTTTCTAGCCCGGATGGCTATTCGTATCTCTTCTTTCAGGTTGCTGTGAGATTGTGGAGACTGACGTTGAGAAACCTGTGGTGGATTTCTTCTCGGGTCACCAGATGTTGGAGTCCTTCACAACAACCTCTATTGTTTTGATACCTCCTGGTCCGACTATAGAGCTATCAGCCTTTGTAATGTGACCAACAAGATCATCTCCAAGATCCTTTACGGTCGCTTAGCCCCCCTCCTACTTTCCTTCGTCTCTCCAAACCAAAGTGGTTTCATCAAGGATCGAGTCATCAGTGATAACATCCTTTTTGCCCAGGAGATGATCCATGACATCTCTCATGCGAATCGGTTACGAGCCCCAAACCTTGTGCTGAAGCTAGATATGGCTAAGGCATATGATAGGGTCGAGTGGCCGTTTCTCAGGGAGGTTCTGTTTCAGATGGGCTTTCCAGAACGTTGGATTAGTTTTGTAGAGGGGTGCTTGGAGCATTGCACGTTCTCGGTCCTTGTTAATGGTAGCCTCACTAACTTCTTCCCCTACACCCGTGGTCTTCGGCAGGGGGATCCCTTATCCCCATCCCTTTTCGTCCTGGCGCCGGACTACCTATCTCGTTGCCTTGGTGGCTTCATTCAAGATTTCCCAAGGATGACCTATAGCACATGTGGTTATGGTCCCCCTATCTTGCACATTTTCTATGCGGATGACATTATTATCTTCACTCGTGCAGATAATAATGGACTGGCTGAGCTTATGCGTCTCTTGTGGCACTATAGTTTGGTTTCCGGTCAGCTTTTCAGTGTGCAGAAGAGCACTCACCCTGGATCATCACATTGCCGACCAGTACTGGACCCATTGGGTCCACGAGTGTACTGGTTTTGCGCGTGGAGACCTTTCCATCACTTACTTGGGTGCCCCTCTGTATAAGGGCCACCTCTCGCATGAACTCTTTATAGACGTCAGGCAGAGGATGATTGACCGGATTTCTGGCTGGTCTCACAGACATCTATATTTTGGGGAAAGGCTTACTCTGATTAAGAGCTCCCTTAGCGTCCTTTCGCTTCACCTTCTTATGGTCCTCGACCCTCACCAGTCTACGATTCACGAGCTAGATCAGATCTTGGCTCGATATTTTTGGGGGCATGGGGAGGGCTCCCGAAGAGGGAGATAATTCCACTGGGTGAAGTGGGACTCCATTTGCCGCCTCTTCTCTGAGGGAGGCCTCGGGATCTGGTGCTTTTCGGACGTCGTCACTGCATTCTCTTATAAGATGTGGTGGCGTTTTATGGAAGGTAAGTCCCTTAGGGCCCAGTATCTTCTTTGGAAGTACTATCCTGGAGGCGCTGCCCACCCCTGTAGGGTGATGACCACCGCCTGCGATAGCAAACAGTGGAGGCAGCCCACCATGGTTGGTAGACGTGCTCAAAAGCACATTTTCTGGACTTTAGGTGAGGGGGACATCAGCTTTTGCTATGAGTGGTGGTTTGGTGAGGGTTCCCTTTCGAGTACTAGACAGGTCACCCACATTCCCTTTCTGTAGGTGAAGGACCTGTGGGCGGATGGGGGATGGGATAGGGATAGGTTAGAGAGGTTCTGGGTAAGGGAGCGGATTTTAGTGACCAGGAGATAGATGAGATCCAGCAGATACCCCTCTTAGAGGACGGTTTGGACGGTATGAGGTGGAGACTTACATCTTCGGGTGCATTCTCTACGACCTCGGCTTGGGAGGAAGTACGGCTAGGTGACCGGCCTAACCTTCTCTTCGGAGCCATCTGGAGCGATCTACTTACCCACCCCGACCATCTCTGTTTGTATGGCGTCTTCTTATGTACCGCCTACCGATTGACACTGTGATGCAGGCGAGGGGGTTCTCATTCCCCTCACGTTGTTACTGTTGTGCTGAGACCGGCGATTTTCGGACTGAGGCCTTCACCCATTTGTTTCTTGAGAGTGAGACTGCGAGGAGAGTGTGGGAGCATTATTCCAGTTACACCCATATACCATTACCCACCACAGATAACTTCTTTGAACTTGTGAGTTTTTCACACAGAGCACACACACTAGACACGTGGGCTTCCTTATTGATTGTCTGATCCTTTGGTCCACATGGACAGAGAGGAATAATGTGAAGCATAGGGATATTACCTTTTTATGTTCACATATTATTTTGCAGGTTAACAGACATCTATCTCTCCTGACTGCTCTTGGCAGACACACGCCGAGAGACTGAATAGGTTGCACGCCACCTCTGCGTTTTGCACCACCCCCACAGCCGTCTGCCCAGCACCCACACCCCAGAGCTGTTATTTGGCTGAGACCCGAGCCTCCTTGGGTTAAGCTAAACATTGACGGATCCTTTGACCGACTTACCGGAGCCGTCGAAGGTGGGGGCCTGATTAGGGACCATAGCGGTGCTCTGATTACCGCTTTCCATGCCTCTTTTCGGGCCTCCTCGAGCTACGACGCGGAGATTCAGGTGCTTCAGATCGGTCTTCAGATTGCTGCCTTGATATCCCTTCACATTTGGATAGAGTTGGACGCTGCCTCTGTTATCACTCTTTTGACCACTGGCCATCAGGGCACACGGCAGATTCAGCATCTCTTCAAGCATATTAGGGCCACTCTTCGGTCGATTCGGTTTCAGATCTCGTACATCTTCCGTGATGGGTGTCGTCCTGCTGACTTCCTCACAGGCATCGGGTCTTCCACCTCCCAGAGGCACATACTTTATCCTGACGATATTCCTCTCTGCCTCCATACCCTTATACGTGATGGGATACTCTTCATTCAGATGTGTGTAGCCGGTCCTACCTTTGGTGAACCCGCTCTTCCGCTTTCCTGTCACGCTGACTTTTTGGCCTGGACCCTTCCAGACTAGGAAACATTATCTTTGTATAACTAGCAGCTGAGTCCAGCCTGTTCTTGTTTTCTTTTTCGTTTTTGGATTCACTTTTTGTTTGACTTGATGTACTCCAGACATTATACTGTAGATTGTGATGACTTGTTAGCCCATTTAAGGCCTTTAGAAAAATAAGATATTTAGGCCATCCATTATGTCAAAATATTATATCAAATTAGTATTATTCGTTTCATTTATTGTTTCCAATTATTCTGTGTTGAATTTTTTGTTTCAGTTCATCTGCACATGCCATTACATTGTTACAAAATGAGAGTTGATACAGCTGAAAAACTACCGAACTGCAGTTCATGTATTCAATTCTTACAATGTAAACGAAATATAACTTACACTTGAGAACTTAACGAAACTTGCATACGTGAAGAGAAATAAGACGGGGTGAGAGTTGTTCTTTCTGCAGATAAATATGCCCTGTAATATGCTGAAGGATTCAGGTGTCACGTCATAAAAAATACAGCGGCTGTGAATCATAAGCAGTAGCATTTTCAGACTTCGAGCTCCGACAAACTTGAATAGATCAAGAATCGACCACAAATATATTTATGATGCGTAAAACTCTCAGATATTCAAGAGTTAAGACGACATAAGAGTGCTCTTCTGCAACTCTAGAGATATTCTATTTATAAGATTTCCACAAGCATATTTATACGACCATTATGTTGGGATCTGTGAATATCTCGTTATGTACAAATCACGAATTCAATAGCAAACGTAAACCTATGCGCAACGGATCTAAAGGTTTGACGTAGAGAACTTACGGCTTAAAATTTATGGCGATCTGGGTGATCTTCTGGATGGCTGTACACAACACACCAATAAATCAGATCACACGAACAGAAGTCTCGGGCTCGCGTGAACCGGGTCATGTAGGGCTGGTCGTCCTGGTCGTGTCGCGTGGGATCGTCGATCGCAAGTCGCGGGCTCAATCGTGTCGCGTCCTCCTCGGTCACATGTTCTGATCGCCGGCAGCAGTCAGCTGGTCGTGGCGGGGCTCCGGTTGGCTCACGGCAGTCGGTGATTGGCGGTCCTCGGGCTCACGCTCGTGGATCGTCGATTGTTGTAGAAGATAAACGGGTCTCGAATATCTATGGATCTTCTACTGTATTACTCAATACACTCTTCTTCAACTTGTACCAGTGGAGCAACAAGAAGAAGACAAAACTCGAATGAGAACTGTGAGAGAGATGAGAGGGAGCGGCTATTTCACGTGAATTCTGAAAAATATTCTCTTCTCATGAGCTTAATGATGTATATATAGAGCTACAGTAGGGACCCTTAGGAGATTAGGAATATGGCTCATTAATTAATTAGACTAACTGTGGGCCAAGCCCACTCTTGTAATTAATTAATTAATATTAATGGGCCACCAACATTATATTATTGCACTTCCTTTCTTAGCCCAAATTACATTTGAGACTCCAATAATAATTACTCGATTTAGTTCCCTACGTTTAAGATATAATGTCCATTAATTAATTCGATTACTGATGATCAAGAATTAATTAATTTATTATTATTTCATCGAAGCTAGCGCTCGTTCATCACATTCTTATTATGCCAGAACTTAATCTGCCTGCAGGGTTTAGCATAACAATCCTTCATGAACTGACTCCGGGGACATCATCAAACTAACGCACATGGTGACCGTAAATATCATAATAGCACATCCAATATATAATAATATTACCCAAAACAATAGGAATATTGATCCATCACCCAAGTGAATCAAAGTAATATATACTATATATATATATATATATATATATATATATATATATATGCCTGTTTAATATCTTACGGGTTAAGAGAACG